AAGAAAAAAAACTGATACCTTAAGTGCAATAGACAAAGTCGTAGATGCCATATGTAAAGAAGATAAAATAGCTCTTCCTCCGATACCAGAACCTAATGAGATGGATTCTTTTTTATCTTTAATAGGATTTAGATTACAAAAACTAACATCAAAGACTAGGTTTAAAATAATGCAACAAATATTGCAGTTAATATACGAAATAATTATGCAAGAAGACATTAATGAATAATATTTTATATAATACATAAGATATTCTTTTTTTTTTCAAAATATATTTTAAAGTTTTTTAAACATTTGTTTGAATTAATATTTTTCTTGATATTTTTAATTAAAATGTTTGCATTAAATGGTTTTTTTACATGTCATTTTTCATAATCTTAATGAAGGAAGAAGAAAAAAAAGTGATAGTACAAAAGGTGATACTTATTTTTATTTGCATTATATTTTTTTAATATAATCATATATTACTTGAAATAAGAATATTTTGTTTCATATTTTTTATTGTGTTCATTATGTTATTAATAAATAATATATTTAAACATTCAGTGAGCTTTAAAGTAAATATTAAAGTGTTTCTAAATAAAATTAATTGAATAACTAGTTGAAGGTTTTATTTTATTCTTACTTAATTATACCTTTCTTAATATTTATTAATAAAGCGAGTATACGAAACAATTATCCGAACAAAATCAATGAAAAACTTTTGGCAGTTTTGATAAACGATAAACGAAAAGGAAATTGTTGTCAAAAATGTTATTAAATAAATTCAATATTTATAGAACGTTACAATCATGGATTTTATCACGCAATCTTTCCTGTATAAATACAAAAAATTATAATTGAATATTATTAAATTGTATAGTTCTTTCAGTAAAAATAATTGCAAATTATTAACGCAATTAGCCAGAGCAATTCCTAATGCAATTTATGAGAATATTACCAAGAATTAAATGTAAAATAATTTAAACATGAATATATTCGATCAGATTTATATGCTTAAAATAAAAAATTGCTTTATTGTCTAATCAACAATCATCTCGTATTTCTCACGCGATAGATACCTCAAGTACTTCCTATTTTGATATAATCTTGAACAGGTTTGTAATACATGATTGGATGCTGTCTACTGATGTAAGTCGTTGCTTTTCCACAAGCATTATTAATCGCTGTCAAGTTTTCTTATTATTTTGACACATCCGCGAAATTAATCCGACTAAAAGTTTAACTGAATATTCCTGCAAACACATTCATGTATTTTATATTTTATCAAGTAATAATTTTTAATATAATAAATAATTTTATCTGTTAAATTAGCGATACGTACTTGAACTAGCGTGTCGATGTAATTAGAGTATTGAGACATGACATTACATATCATTAAAGACAACTAACTATGAACTGTATAGTGAATCATTGTTGATTTGCTGAAAGAACAAATATACATATTCCAAATCACTCTCTAGTTATATGTACATGATAAAGAATTATAATGTAAACTGATGTAAACTTACAAGATCTGATGTAAAGAATAAGTATATAGAAGCATTGCTTAAATATTATTATTAAATTGCCATGGTACAGCTCCTTCGGTATTAAAATAATTGCAGAAGTTTTCACGAATTTCGATTGCGTTTCGCGTACTATTGTTATTACCACATAGAGTAATATCTTTTAATGCACTATCTCTTATATCTTTTCTCCAAGATCCAGGAACAAACTCATCGAGTCTATTTTGATCAACAAGTGCTTCATCAACATATTGGTTTACTCTGATATCTTGCTTACGAAGCCAGTTGTGCAGACATACAATAGCTTGTATTATTTTCATGGATTTTACACCTGTTATTTACAGGTTAAAATAATTTACAGTAGTTGACACTGTATTTTTGTATCTATATACTTACTGTACTTTGTATACTCACTGTACTTGTACTTTTGCGCGTTGCGCGTATATTGGCGAGTTGGGAAAATTACTTACTTTATAATTTTTTATAAATACAAAATATATTTTGTATTTATTATGCCTGCAATGCTATCAAGAGTAATGAGAAATACAAGGTGTCTCATTTTAAACAATCCACTCAAATATCTCAAAAACACCGAGTTAAATAATAAAATTTTTTAAATAAAAGTTGTAGGATTTGGAGAGGGAAAAAATATAGGGATATTTGTTTGACCTTGGATGGAAGCGCTTCTGAGATTTGAAGGTCATTTTTATTTTTTAAATGGAACCACTTTAATTTTTTATATAAATCGATTTCTCATAATATTTGT